GTTGCTTATCATTCTTTTAGGTGGAAAGAGGTTTCATATTCTGTGCTATTTGAACCTCAGCTTATGAGGATCACATATTAAAAAATATTTTTGTTATATTCCCTGAGCAAATATATGCTTATCTTCTATTTTAAAATACCTGCCATTTTTAGTATGTCATACATCATTCTCTCAGTCATAAAATAAGAATTCTTTTTTGTGGTGTTAGAAGTTGATGCTTAATTTAGGAAGACACTTCTCTCATTTTTTTCTTTTTTTCCTTGCTCTTAATTTTTGTCTTATGATTTTTAACCATCTTTTAATTATCTTGATTTTATTTAGTAAAAATATCAATGGTGACATTAAAGAAAGTGTTTTTCCAGTTGTGTAATGTCATCAGTCTGTGTCCATTGTAGATTATATTCTTGTGTGGATTTTAAGATGTAAATATTTTAATTTCCAGCTTAGCCTATAATATTTCACCTCTTGGAAAATCACTTCCTTTCTCATGATTATCTCTAGAAATAAGGCATTAAAAGTTGATAGGCGTAACATCTGTAACTATATTAGGACAGTGGATTGAATTAGTAAAATGTAATATTCAGAATTACCTTGCACAGTCAAAAAGACAGACTTAATTTCTCTGTGTTATACTTTGGAGAATAGAAGTAGAATAATAGCTCTCAGCCTGTAAGGTAATTTTACTTTCTTTTTCTAAAGGAATGCCCATAAATGAAGATGTTGATGCTAAAGGTCAAGGCAGGAAGTCTTAAACTTGAACAGAAGAGTAATTCCTTGATATCACAGTTTATCATGGTATACTTGTCTGCCATAAAACAGCCAGGCAAAATTTAGCCTTTTTTATTTCCTCACAGTTTTCATGGTAATGAGTGGTTAGGACTCACTTTGGGCCAAAGATCTTTTGAAGGTCAGGATTGACAACTGCCACAGATAGCTCAGCATTGATGTCTCTTTTCTTCCCACACTGTGACTTGTGTCACAGATTTTGCTGCCCTGTGAAGGACTTTTCACTGGGCTTTTTCGGGGCCTTCTCAAAACTCTAAAATGAATTCCCATAGGCTGGGGAGATGAGCAAGACAGGTTTGGGGTTTGCTTTTGTGTTCACCCAGCTTGGATTCAGTGTCAGGCTACTCTGAAAGGATGCATTAATCAGTGGCAAAGCAAAACTTACCTTCTCCCCAGCTCCCCATAGCTCCTTACATAAAAAGAGGGATATTGACTGTGACTCAGTGCATGATATAACGCCTTGACACTGGAGCTAAAAATGATTGTACCACAAATCATCAAGGATGTGGTCAATACTGCCAGGACTGCTAGTGATGGAAAGGTGTTCTTGCTCTAGCTGTTGATGTCACTGTTCTCTGTTGAATTGCATGTCACCTCCTCCTATGCTCTTTAAAAGAGCCTAATGATGACATCTTAGTGGCAGAAAAAAGGCAAACGCTAATGGCTGAGTACAATGGGCAGAAATAAATAGTGCTTGTAACAGAGAACTTAACTATTTTAAGAGAATCAAAAATAAAAGCCATAATGTTCATGGAAAGGATGTGAAAATGTCACAGGGCTGCTGAAATGCATACAAACACTTAAAGCTCACCTGCTCTTAGCAGTTTGGGTACTTAATATTGCTTCAGTTTTATCATCCTGTTTTCCTTCTGTTACTTGTGCAAGAATGCAAATAATGGTCTATAAATCACCTTCCAGTGTAGCATGCTTGAGTTAAACAGCACAGGAAATATTGTCAGCATCAACAGGGAAAGGAAAGACAGCAGAAGGAAAGGGAAGTGGCTAACAGTCATCAAGACCACTTTATCTTTAGACCACTGAAACATAATCTTCTCAGAATAGGAACACTTTCCATCTGATAAACAGAAATGACAGTAAAGAAGTTTTACAAGATATTTCTTATATTCAGTACAAACATGTATGTATGCTTGCATACATACACATTTTTAGCATTTCATTGGTTTTAAGACTCAACCACAAAGAACAAACTCAGAGAAACTGAGAATGTTCTGGCTGTGTCCTTAACATGTTGGTGACCATGGATGTTAATTATCATAAAAAGGATAAATGCATGTCTTCCTCATTCCATTAGATGCTTAGTCTCAAATTCAGTTAAAAAAAATAATTCTCATAACTAGTAGAAACGTTCATACTTGGTCTTCTGGATGGATTTGGTTTGGGAGTGGTGGTATTAATTCAGAAGTAGGGTAGCACAGCTGAGATACAAATGCATCCCAGAGTTTTGAGAAGAATGGTTGCACTTAGCTTTCCTGTGCTGGATATTTCTACCAGAGATTGCTTTCTGCATCTACCACATGCATATTAGTTCTCTGACTTGCTTGACAAGACAGAGCCTGCATCATGGCATGACAGCTGTCTCTGTGAGTCACTTAGAGGTGTAAACAATGACCTTTCCTACAAGGACAAGATGACAACCAAAAGGTGTTTGGAGCAATTTGAAATCCACCTACCAGGATGATCTTGTGTGTGTGTGTGTCTGTGAATTTGAGGTGATTTTTATATGTTCTTGTAAATCCTGAGTTTGACATGGGTGGTCAGGGAAGGGAGAATTTGTGAACTACTAAAACCCTGCAACACGTTTTCTTTTTTTATTTTATTTTTTTAAATTTATTTTGTGTTTTTCCCATTACACGTTAAATAATTATGTCTAGAGTACCTCATTTGCAAAGTATATTTGCAAACTGACCACTTTGGAACATGAGCTGTTTTAACAGTTGCTCAAAAGGAGGATAAAACATATGGAAAAACATTAACTGAGTATCCATATTTTTACAAGGAGGATTAGACTGGACATTAGGAAGCATTTCTTCACTGTGAGGTTGCTCAAACATTGGCTTCCTAGAGAGGTTCTCACTGCCCAACCCTGTCAGTGTGTAAGAGGCATTTGGACAATGTCTTTAAGGACATGCTTTAACTTTTGGTCAGCCCTGAACTAGTCAGGTGTAGCTGGACTAGGTGATCATTCATCATCTTCCAAATGAAAAGATATTCTGTTCAATTCTATGCTAGAGTATTTTTTACCCAAAATCTTGATTTCACAAAGATTCCCATCACAGACCACTTTGCCTGGAAAACAGAAAAAATATTTTATTGTAATTGTTCTGTGAAGAATGCCAATATGGATTCTGATATTGTGATATAAAAATAACTTTTTCTAATTTAATTTAATCTTCTTTTGAAATTCATCATTAACTATAAAGGATAATAAAAAATTTAAGAAATAATGAACACTAAAGTGAGGCTACAGTTCTTGAAATGGAGAACATACATCAGTAAATATGATGAAGAATATGTAGTGTCTGGCCTTCATCCTTTTTGTTCACTACTCACAGAATATAAGAGCTAGGTACTTGTGGAAGTAAATAATAAAAGAAAGTAGCATTGATTTTTTTCCCTTCTTTCCTATAAAATTATTGATCTGTTTTTAACCTAATTGGCACTTGTGAAAATAAATGGAAGAAACCAGTAGGCTATTCATGGGGTTCAAGTATTTGTTCTCAATAAGAGAGTTCCAGGCCTGCTTGTTTGGGGCTGTGCTGGCTGTCCTAAGAAGCCAAAGATCGAGTGCTGTAGCATACGGTATTTGCTTTGTTCTTTTCTCTTTAATCTCTCTTTCTAATTATTTCTTGTAATTCAGATGAGTAATAGTGCTAAAGATGCCTTAATGTATTGATACACAACAATTGAGTATGTACTGCTAAAAATGTAGCTTTTCAGTAAAAGTCTTATCTAACGTAAGAATGGACGGCTGATTAAAGGAAAGATGTAATGAAAGTGGGTTTCCAGTTTAACTCATCAGAAATTGTGGGAATCAAAAGAACATTATTTCTCCTGTATCCTGCCTATAAACATTTTTAATCAGTTATACTCTCCTGTACCATTGAATTTACTGAAGAGAATCCAAAGACTGTCCATTTCCTCAGTAGTGATCCACAGATACTTTGTTTGTGAGCAGATTTACAGACAGGTGAGCCCCTAATTCACACGCATAAGTATGTGAAGGTTTGAGGAATGAATTAAATTTTGGTTTAAATTTTTCCACACTTTCTTTTAGGCAAAACAACACTAAAGGTATTGCACATATATTCAGTGATAGTATTTTTATTGGCTTCAACAAGCTTTGTCTCAGTCTCCAAGCTGTATAGTTTGGATGTTGAGCTTTGTGCTTAAAGGTACATCAGGTGAAATTTTATTCCTTCATCAGAGGAGTTGTCCTGAAGCTTATAGCTATGTGAGAATCATAAGAATCAGGACAGTTAATTACAAATTACAAGGAAGGAACACTGATAAAAAGGTTTTCAGTTGTTTTTAAAAAAGCTATAAAACTGTGTGTTTTTCCTTGGTATCTGATATAATTTATTCCATATTAAAAAAATAGGTTAATTGAAATTTTTAAAAAATAAAAGGATACAAGTGTTTCCACACTTATAGCTCAGTCTTTGTTTATTTGGGATGATTGTTTAATTCATAGTAAGCATTTTAGTAACATGCTGTCCTTACAGGGCTGCTGAAGATTGCTTTCCCATGTTTGCATCTGCAATGAAATGGCTTCTGTGGATACAGACATAGATGATTGCACATCTCTTTGCCAGTATCCAAAACAGAAAATTGTGTTAAAACATGTTTAAAACACTTTTGCAAAACCAGCTTTATGTAGCTTGCTTAGAGTTTAAAGCTGGATATTTCTGTGCTCCTTTGGAATAAGGTTTGGACCATCCCTCCAGGAGAATTGTGTTGTAGAAGAATTGCATGTGTATATTACTTTGCATGCTGTAGCAGTGTGAGTATGTGAGGAGGAAAAGGTAAATAAATTCCAATTCCATTACATGGTTCTTGTGTCTGTTTGCAGCAGAGAGCCATGGATATGGTTTTAGCATGGCTAAAGCTGTGGCTAGTAGAAGGTGATTTGTATCTTACGTCTCTATGCTAATTTATTGCTGTTGTTTTCTCTGTCTGTTCTTGTAACAAAATAGAAGTACTCTGCTGTCTCTCTCTGCAACATATCTACAGAAGTCCTGAAAGTCATCAATGCCACCGAAGAACTGATAGCAGAATCCACCAGTCCCTGTGATTTCCCAGATGACATTCAGGACAGAGGAAGAGGAACCCTCCCGCTGGGCACAGATCCCGTCAGACTTGACGAGCAGCTCACCACACTGGAAGAAAATGTAAGAAGATGAATCAGTATGTAAAAGAGTCACATGTGTGAGTGAGTGCACCTGTTTGTGTGCACCAACTCAAAAGGGAAAGCACATGGGCAGCATCAGTGGATATTAAAAATTAATATGGTTTTTTTAAACAAATACACAAATAGAAAAAAAAAATATGTTTCAACAGTGCTTAACTGTGTCTGGTTTTTTTTTTATATGTAGTTTAAAATATTGAGGAGAGGGGAAGTTGAGTGCTTTGGGGTTTAGAACTACATTGAGAAATTGTATCTCAAAAGCTTGCTTATGCCCTACACACCTCTATTGCAGTATGGCTATGCCATCCCTGGTTGAAACCACACATCTCCCAGTCTCAGCACAACCTCATCACTACAAGGACAGGTGGGGAAAGCATGTCCCCAGTCACACAGAGAAGTGGAGAAGCCCTTCCTCCCCCTACATCCCTAGCACATCGTGCTGAGCACCCAGAGAGTTAGAGCTGCCTCCTGCACTGTTAGAAAGAGCAGGCTGGAGAATCTGAATTAAACAAAGATTCGTTTGGCCATGTCCAAATCATCCATATTTTTCATTACTATCTGTCATCTGCAGGGGAAAGTACAATGCCAAATCAAAGGAAGTCCCTACTCATTGGAAATTTTTGTGAATCCACTTAATGGAGTTGGTACACTTACAACTTTTGATTTTCTTTTCTTCCCACATTTAAGTGATAACATTTCAGTGCTCTTTCCCTTCATTAGGAGCTCTTAAAGATTTCATAGGAATTTGCACTGTCCCATTATATCATCCTGATCAATTCAAGATGACCTTTCTTTCCCACATTTTTCTATCAGTCCCATTTTCTTTAGATTTTTTCTCCCCCTCTTGAAAAGGACATCTTACTGTGCAGAGATTTTTGCCACAGCACTTAAATGCATCTTTTCTTCAACTTTCTAAAGATGCTGCTGTTCAAAATGTTCTATTTCTTCTTTCTCTAAGCTTTTAGATATGACAGGGAAATCTGAAAATTCATCTTTTAATCTGAACTAGCTGAGGTATGTCATACTTAAAAGATGTATCATTTAAATGAACGGTAAGAATAATTAAACCCCACAAAACCAGAAGCATTTCTATTTAAATAATTGTATTAACTTTATGGACCACCTGTGTCCCCAGGTACTTCAGCAAAGGTGTTACATCAGATCACATATTTCTTTTAGGTATGTTTTTCAAATATTTCATGCCTGCAGTTACAAAGTGTCCTTACAAGATGCAGTTTGTACAGATGTAGTGATTTTGGGGTTAGGTTTTTTTCATGCATGTGACTTTGCTATCTATAATTGACACAAAGAAAAAAGAAAGCTATTTCAAGCAATTAAGAAACAATTTGAAAAAGAATAAAAAGTAAACAAATTCAATCTGGTCATTTGCCAACATTTTGATCCATAAAGTCAGAGCATTGCTATAAATTATTTGAATACCTCTTATGTCAAAGGACTGAATGATCCAAGAATTGTGGGCAGATATAATGACTGGAGTGGAAGATGTATGAAATGAAGGTATTAGCTCAAGGATCTGCTTCAGATCTTGTTTGCTTGCCCCTTGAACCCTGAAGTTAGCCACAGTTGTGTTTAATTCATGCTGGGTTTGTAACGACATGGTCTTTACTAATATTGCAATGGGGAAAATCAGAATATATTTTATTTCTGTATGAAAATATATAAATATTTCATATTTATATATGATATTTCATATTTATATATTTCATTTCTGTTGTGCTGTTACCAGCCTCATGGAAGCAAGTCTTTTGGCTAAGGAGTAAATGGGCAGAAAGTGCAGTATTTTCATGTGGTTCTGCACAATTTTAAGCACAGATGTCAAAAGCCAATGCTTAAAAATGACCCTTTTCTATAAACCAGTGACCTCCATGTACCTTAGGGGGTTTGTGAAATAAAACACTAAAACACAGTGTATCACTAATTACTGTTCTGAGGGACTGAATGGGAAATGAAACCTTTAGCTGTAGTTCTAGATACTAGAGGTGGGCCAAAATAGTAAGAGTTGTTAATTTTTAGGGAAGAACTCTGAATTATAAAATCAGTAATTCTCTTTTGTGTGGCCCAAATAAGTCTTGATCCTCCACAGATTCACTCAAAGGCCCAGGAGGTGGGAAGGCTTTGCCTGCTGTATATTTGGGTGAGAAGAGGATGGGATGGAAAACTGTTATACATATAAGCACATTTACTCCATAGGAAGTTAATAACTATTTGCTGCTGAACAGTTATTCATGCAGTTTTTACTGCCAGAAGGCATCAAGTGGGTTTAAAAAAACACAGCTACATATGAGGCATGACTTCTTCCCTTTGTGGACTTGGGGTGTTATGCAATGGAATATCAATAATAAAAAAGCAAACTTTTCAACATTTTTCTTTGCTGATTGATCTGGAACAAATCTGGTTTGGAATACCATTGCAGCACCTATGAAATCTGTAATACAGCCATCTCATTCATCCCTTCTCTTTGTGGATGTGTGTTTTTCAGATTATTTCCCCATGACTTTTCTCTGCTAGATAAATCTCCCTCTAGTGGGCTAGCAAGCAGGGAAGCTTGCATGTATGATGGAAAATGCAGTCTGCTCAAACCTGGATGCCCACAAACCAGGAATCACTGACCCCTGTCCCCACCTTGGCCCTGCAGGTGTACCTGACAGCCAGCACGGTGTATGGACTGGAGGGGCAGCTGACCAACCTGGAAGATGCCGCACGCAAGATCAACAGTGTCACTGAGGAATCTGAGCTGGCTGATCTGGAGGATCAGGTGGCCACAGCAGCTGCCCAGGTTCATCATGCAGAGCTTCAGGTGAGGACAGCAACTCCTCCCCATCTGCATGTTTCACTCTGCCTTGTCTTACCCACTTCACTGAATACACTTGGAATATTCTTTTGTATTGCTGTAGTCTGATGATCCAAGGGTGCTGACTGCATCACACAAGCAGAGCAGAGCATAACTGAGCTGTGTAAGTCAGCCCAGACAGACATACTCCCTTTGTTTCTTCCCTCAGCTTGGTTTTGGACGTGGCACTGCAGCAGCCTCTTACTGCAGTACTAATGCTGGACTGCTCCTTGCTGCCAGGCAGCTCCCATGGTGCGCTCTGTGTCATGTGCATGGCCCCAGTCAGACAACAACTACAGTCTGAAGCAGTTTATCAAATCAGCAACTTTTCAAGCACTTTTGAAAAGATGCCACTGTTGGCAGCTTTCTACCAGCAAAGGCAGCCAGAGGCTGAGCCAAGGACAGGGCTTGTATGCCTGCCATGGGATTTAGGTGCTAAGCAGCACACATCTCAGCCAAAGGCAAGAACTCTTGTGCATTGTGATCTAGCACCACTCTAGCAGGCTCCAGAAAATCCAGGGCTCAGAATATGTTGGGATCTGGTGCTAAAAGCTGAACAAGATAATGCTGCCAGACCTCAAGGGGCTGACAGTGCTTGCAGCTCACTTCCCAGTCTGTACCCAGCAAGATACCCATACCTGACTGTGTCAAGGTTTAATGGGAATTACCTGGTGATTTTACTCAGTGGAAGCATGCTCAACTCAGGACTGAGCAAATATCTGAGAGCCTGACATGTCTCTAATGTCAGAAGGGCATTGCTGTACTACTTGGCAAACTGGCAGTGGTGTTTTGTTGGCTTTGGTCATTATTTTAGGGTAAATCTGTTAATGGGGGTGAAACAGAGGAGGAGAGAGGCCTAAACTATGCAAGGAGTTCAATGGAAGATCTTCTGCAGAGTGAAGCCAACTGTGGCTTCAGATGTCATTGTGAATCAGGAGTTGGGTTATATGTCTGACTTCTCTGACTCTTCTTTCTCTTTTGTCAACATTTGTCTCCACTACTCTCAAAACTGGACTACTTTTCCCTGGCAGTTTGCTTTCCATTCAGTATTTTTATATAGTGTGTGCCTGCATTTATGCATGCTTGTGTTTAATATGCATATACATTTGAACTATAAACATTTAAGATCAAATGTTTAGATTTTGTGACAGAGGATGTACTTTGCACATGTATGAAATTAATTTTGAGTTAGGAAATGTGTCCCACAAAGTCATTCTTTGAATGTAGCCTTTTCAAAACACTGCTTGAGGGAAATTTGGATTATGCAGCTAAAGGTAATTGGGAGATAGCAGATGCAGGTTTTCTCTCCTCCTTTCTTTTTTTTCCTCAAAAGGAGTAAAATGCTTCTTCTTGGAGTCACGAGGTAGGTTGAATTGTTCTTTTACTCCATCTTTACTAACAAATTAAGCCCCTTTTAATGTCAGGACTAAAAAATGCAGGAAAAGTGTCAGAATTGCTGAAGAAGTTAGCCATCTGTTTATATTTTCTTATTAAAGAGGATTTTACTGGGGGAGGGTTATATTTCAGTAGTGGCATCCACAGTAATTTTAAAACTTCTTTTCCCCCCTCCCCATCTGTCTGTCTCTCTCTTTTATTTTCTTTGAAGATTTCAGATATTGAGAGCAGAATATCAGCTCTCACTGTTGCAGGCTTGAACGTGGCTCCCTGTGTTCGCCTGACAAGGAAACGGGATCAAAAGCAAACAAACCAGGTGCCAGAACATTATGTAGTATTCAAAAATACATTGGGGAAATCTTGCCTCTTTCTCTATAATGGAGTTGAGTAATGCATTTATGTTGTTTACAGATGCATACAATAGACACATCAAGACAGCAGAGGAGAAAACTTCCAGCTCCACCAATAAAAGGTACACCCTAAAGTGTTATGTAAATGAGAGAGACTCTCTTTGTAGGATTCAATATAATGTACAGGTCAGCCAGGTGGGGAAAAGTTTAAGTTACAAAATGAACATAGAAAGCCTAATAGACTGTCCCATCCTCCTCATTTTCCTTGTACTCACATTATATAAAATACCCCTTTGTCACATTTAAAAGCATCACCACTTTATCTTCCGTGAAAGTTTTAACAGTGACAAGCAAACAAGACCAGAGGAGGCAGAAGGCTGGAAAAAGCAAATGAGGAATGCTGAATACTTGCCCTGCAGGAGGAGGGTGGTGCTGCTGCAGCATGGCTGCTACCCTCCACAACCCACCACTTCCTTAAAGTTTATATTTGTTGATTTCAATCTGTATGAAATGGTTTAGGAATGTTCTTGCTATGTCAGAGAATGGCTGTGAAATGTCTTTATAAAATAAAGTGTGTTTTTTCTTTCATGATTTTTTGTGGATTTTTGGTTTTGGGTTTTTTTTTTTTTACTCTGCAGTGCACTATCTCTGAAAATTCTAGGGCTTCGTTCACTGCACTATTCTTTTGTAATTCCACTGACTGACATGGCCTCAAACTTTAATTTATTTGGAATACCACAGCCTGATGTTTTTAATTCAAATTAAATCCAGCTTTCCTCAGACATCTTAGGGAAAGTTTTATCAGTCTATAAGCTGTGACTCTTCAGAAGTATTTTTATACTTCTTCAATCTCTTCATCTTTTATACTGCTTCAATCTCTTATGTGAAAAATCTCCCCTTTTGTATTTTTCCCAGGTGAAAAAATAGATGGTTCTCCAGTTACTACTGTCAGAACGTTTAACAGAAACTTCATGCTTCAAGGATCTCTAACACAAAGAACTAAAGAAAGGAAAAGCACTGCCAAGGACTTAATGGTAAAAAAAATATTTAAAACTCTGTTAAAAGCAGTCAAATAGAGAGATAGCAGTATCTGTGTAGGCAGCTGTATTTCAGCATCTTCAGAAATCTTCTTTTGATAGTCTGAGGAAAAAATAATGGAGACTGCTGAGGCAACTCTTGAACAAATATGACTAGTGTCCTGGACTATATACCAAAGAATAGCAGCTCCTGAAAGTCAGCCTGTGATAATGTAGCCTGGCTGCCAGGTTTCCAGGAATCTGCAACCCATATTTTTTAAAGAATAAATAAATTAGTCATCCCCTGCATTTCAGACTTATGAACCAGACCCTCACAGAACCAGCTGTGCTTTGTAAACTTGGCAGATGAGAGTGACCTTGAATTTCACTAATTGTTGATAAATGTTTAAAGATTATCTAAGAGGAATTTAAGGGACAGACAGGTGACACATTGGGTCTGCAGGGTGTGAACAAAGAGTCTTTACCCAGGACACCCAGGACAGTTGTCAGTCATTTCTTCTACAGCAGCCATAGAGGGATAAGGGAAAAAGCTGACTGTACCAATGCAGTCTGCCACAGCTGAACATATGTATACATACATATAATGTATGTATGAACATGCATACATGGGGAGGTGAGAAGGGAAAGGACCCAGCTGTGTTCTTCAGCAGGTTTGTTTAGTCCTTCACTCATGTTTTTTTCTTTCCTGTCCCTCTCTGTTCTAGGAACCTGCTGTAGGATCTGCTGTGATGTACTAAACTTACACTTCCCTACTGCCAATAACACACTGCCTAAGGCTGTCCACTAGAGTGCCTTTTCTTAACAGCCATTGTGTATGTCCAGCTGAAAATGGACCCTCAAGAACCCACAGAGCCTCAGCTATAGGGCTTCATTTGGATACCTCACTGAGAAAGCTGTCCAAGTCTTCAGCATTGTGGTCTGCTACAGGAAACTCTGCCTTAAAGTTCTTAGAGGACTCTAGACAGGATGCTATGTTTCAAAAGCAAGGCTCCACATTTTAAGATGCACTTTTTCTCCCTATCGATTGTATTAAGTACGTCGTCTTTAAACTGCAGTATGTTTTTGTACACTCAATCAGTCATAATTATAGGCCAATTAATCTGCCAAAGCAGACCTGTGATCCATATTTGCTGGCCTCTTACTATTCATGTGGGCATCTGTCTTGTCGAGCAATAAGAACAACTCTTTGCAGTGTGTGCTGCTTTTCAGCTGCGTGGAGGGAGAGGAGAATCTGTGTACATCGCTCTGCTCCCAGTGAGTAAGTGGAAGTCTTGGGAGGATTGGTAGGAGGAGGAAGACTTCTCTGTTCTCTGAGAGTACATCTCGCAGATTGAATGTTCCAGCTCCAGAGGTAGGGATATTGCTCTAGGCAGCAGGGGTGTCATGCTGAACCAGGAACTGGTGGCCACACATGTGGACCAGGTATCTGCTGAGTTATGATCCCAGTGTCTGGGAACACCTGAACACTGTTAGAGAGACCAACACCTCCATATGTCTTGTTCTTGGCAGCATTGTCCACTTGGTGGTGGCCAACCATGCTGTAGTTCAGAATAAATTCTGTCCAAACCTTTAAGATTGGAAAAAGGTGGTTAAAGAGCTGGGGTTGAGCTCTCTGCTGACTGACTGGTGGTTGTGGGGTGGCTGCAGCTTGCAAGAGATTCCTTTCTGATGTTCACTGGTGTTTCTGAGGAGGCAAATGTAGCCCAGACATCAGTTCCTATACTAGTCTGGAGCCACCAGAGAGTAGCTGGGGCCTGTTGCTGGTGCCACATGCACCCCACTACTACTGGACCGCTCTGAATTGGATTGTGAATTGTGATATTCCTTCTTTCATTTCTTGAGACCCTTAACAGGTAAGTCAAACTAGAAGGCCCTTTGGCAGATGCCCAGGAAGGAGGATGCTGCTTACAGTCCTTCTTGCCCTTTTGCAGGAGAACATTGCCAATTTGTGATTATTTTTTGCTCTGAAGAATACAAAGAAGGTAGTCAGAGGAGGTGATAAGCCAGTGAATCCCTTACCTTTCACACCAGTTGCAGAGCAGGTACCCAAGTGCAGATAGAGTTGATGTGAAATGTGCTAAGAGGGAAGGCATGAGCTGGCAAAGTTTCCCTCAGCATTAAGGAGTGGTGAGCTCTCCCAAGAGCTGTGGGTACCAGGAAGGAGGAGAGCTCTTTTGTTCTCTGGGCCCCCAGTGAACACCCACTAGCAGAGTGCCACCTGTTACCTGCCATGCAGCAGGGAAGCAGTTCCCTGGGACACCAAGCTGTGTAATGTCTGTAGTTGTGAAAATAGAAGCAAAACTGGGAAAATTTCCTGACTAGGTTGGATATAGGGGAGTGAGTGGGGAAGACAAGGAATGGCTGGATGAGTTGATTGGAAAAACAGTGCCAGTTGCAAATCTGCCATCCACATTTGGCATCTAGCTTGTCAGTACTCTGATGTCCAGCTGCATGTGAGGAACCTTGGAATAAATACATCCATCTTCCCACTTAAAATACGTAAGTGTCATTCCATCCCTTCAGGGAATTTCCATCTGCCCAAGATCTGACCCAATGTGTTTGTTCTGGGTGAAATTAGGCCTTCTTTTACTCTCACACAATACTAGTTCTCTGAAATTGGTTTGCACAGATGTGAGGGAAGAATTTGGCCCACTCTGTTTAATATATAAATATATATATAAAACAAATAGATTTTATTTATATATGCAATCCAGTAAAGGAGATTAAACAGAGTAGGACGCCTAGTAATTTTTTTGTTATTCAATCTCCTCCTCCATTCACTGTTCTCGTGTATGTATACAATACATTCCCAGGTTCTGGTTTATGCAGGTATGCGTGATATGAAATGTCATTAATGGTGGTTGGTCTGCATATTTGTCTAATAAATAATAACTAATATTATGTATGTAATATCAATACAGAAATGACTAATTTTAATAGAATAACTCTTTGGCTTTTGTTCTGTTAGTGTGATTTAAACAAGCCAACAAAGTTTGGAGTAGGTTGTTTTCCTTAAGAGGCATGAAAAGCAACTATTACCGTGTTACAATGTTAAAATATTCAGTCTTCTTTGACAGACAAATGTGTACTGTGTAGGCATTGCAAAAAAAAAAAAAAAAAAAAAAAAAAAACTTTAAAAAAAATCCCACATGCTCTAAGGCATTTGTATTTTTACAAATGTTTATCGTGCCAAATACGTGCAAAGATATAATTTACTGTTTTAAAAAAATCATAAAAGCATATGTTATAGCACACAAAGAATTATTTTGTCATCAAGTGATTTCAATCTTTAGTGTTAATATTTATATTTAGATTAATTTTTATAAATGAAAATATTTTAATGGGTAAAATGAAGACTATATGACCTATTTGATTAAGTCTGAGTGAATATTAAGCTTGCCTTGTTGTTGTTATCTGCATACTCACCAAGAATTATTGTCAAGAGAAATTATAAAAGAGTAAAAGCGATTTATGAAAAGAATGCCTTTTCAATGACTTGATTCATAAAGAAAACCAAAAAGTTTTTCTCTGTTGTTTGGATTAATGTGCACTTTGGCCTGAAAGCATGCAGAACCCACAGCCACACCGTCACACCCGGGACATGGGCATCTCCACAGGGGTGCCGGGGTTTGCTGAGAGCAAAGGCACACACTCGGTTCACACTTCCTCCTCCTCTATGGCTGGGGTGGGAGGAATCCTGTTAGGAACATTTGCTGGTGAGTCTTCTCCAAACCATCAAGTCTGTTGGCTGAAATACTCAAGCATAGCTTCTCAGGTGGAATTTTTTGATCTGTCTCTGAGATTGCTACAAAAACTGAGCAAGAACCCTGCCAATAATCTTGGTTTTGCACTTCCAAAGTTCCTTGCAATGAATGCAGATCAAAATATTTATCAGCATATCTTCTCCACCATGAACGCATTCAGTAAAATTAATGTGCTTTAAGTAACACTTTGGATCAGCAGCTTTGTTGCATTATAAATGGAAGTCATTTATTATTCCCTTATTATAATAAATACCCATCCCTTGCTGACAGGCCATTTGCAAAAAGAGAAAGAAGGGTTAAAATGTCTGCAATGGTTAATTCAACCACTATTCAATTTTAGTAGTAATTCTCACAAAGCACAACTAGAAGTGGAAGTCCATTCATGGCCTGGATTTAACCATCAGTTACTATCTAAATTGTAAACTATCTTTTTTGGATATAAGCCATAGATTAAACTGTATTATTCCTGCTAACAGTTATTAATCAAGATGAAACACATTGTAAGTAACACTTTTTATAGAAGTAATATAACAAAGTTATATTAACATGAGTAAATAGGGGTATTGAGCTGCATCTCCAGGCTTATTGATTTGGACTAATGGAGTAGATAGTACATGGCTTGTGATCCTCAAAGAGTGACTCTAACTTGCTCAGACAATGTACTTGGAAATAATGACATTGTTTTAAAGAGAATCAGCTCATTCAGGCCCTTGCTCCTTTTGGATTATGGTGCATGTATGTGCAGTAGGCACAAAACTACTCCAAAGAGTTCAATTAGCCTTTTTTTTTTTCCTTCAGCAGGGAGAAAATACTTATCTTCAATAGGAGTGCCTCTTTGTTCATTAATATATCTCTCCATCTGTACAAGAAGAATTATGAAGGTCCAGTGGGTACTTCAGGGAGACATTCTTAAGAGTGGATGTTAGCAATCTCTGTAAAAGCTACACACAAAGAACCAGCCTTTCCATGTCATTAATGCAGGTACATTAAAAATTGGTAAGAGCCTTTTTTCTTTCTTCCAACCATTGCTTTTTATTTTTACTTATCAACAGCCATTGACTTTGAAATCTGACAGGAAGGTTTTATGATACATTTAACACTGCAGAGTTTAAATTCCAGCCCAAAAGCTGTGTGGGCTTTGGATAAACTTAACAGTGATCCTAGCAGTGAACAGGATCGGGAGATTGATGGGGATGCACAATGAAGAAACATTTTTATAACCAGTGGTGGCACTCGGTGCTGGTGTCCATGCATTGTCTTTTACTGGCACCCTGAACATGTTTCTTTTTGAAGGTACTTGCACAAGGAGCAGAAAGAAGAGCAGTGTGAGATTGCTAGGCAAAAGCAGAACTGTAGGTCTGAGGTGCAGGGGAGGGCACAATTCAAAGAACAGAGGTTAGGTTGCCACCCTGGGCAACAGAGATCACCAGTCACTGTCCTCTGTGTCCAATGATTTTTGCTCCCACAAAGCATTCAAGATGAAATCCAGGTGTTTGCTCACAGGCCTCAGGCTGCCACGGCTGCTTCTCAGCTGTCTCTTCCCAAAGCGACCAATGGGGCGAACACCACGGCCTACATACCAAAAAGGGTCAATCTCAGGACCTGGAATTCAAAACATTCAGTGAAGATGGATCACTGCACTTGGAGGCAGTGTTTCCTGAATATCTTGAGGATGTAAGACAGCTTATTTGGAACCCAGAAAAAAAAAAAAATAAGGGAAAGGCCACAGCCAGACACACAGCTTACTGGTGCCTTTGAGGGTTACTTTCCATATGTAGAGCCCAAAGGAAGAGAATTCTGTTGCAAAATTAATTTTCATCCATCTGGGCTGCAACCTGCATTTCTAACATGAGCCAAAGGGTCCATCCAAATTTTCTGCAGTAGGTACCAGGCTAACAAATCCACTAGATTGCAGAGGGGGTTCCTTCCTTTATATTTCTCCATAAATACATCTTTTAAGTCTTTCAGCACAATGTTTAACAGCCTTCCTACTACACAAAACCCAATAAACTTTCACCTGTGTACCTAAAACTTGAGGTTCCAAACATCTCTGTCCTCTTTAATGAGGAGAGGTGTGGCACTGAGTCCACACATCTTACTCTCCACAACCCCTCTCTTTGCCATTATCAGCCTATGCTTCATGGGGGAAGATGATATTTCTTGGTGATTTTCTCAAAGATCTTTTGGATTGTGTGCTAGTTTAAACTTCAGACACACGGTATCATCCCTGACCTGGATACTCTCAGTTCTTCCCAGCATCTCTGAATGGAGATACTTCAACCACTTGTATTTGGACTTTCAGAGAACTCACAGTACCATACAGAACTGAGGTTGTCTATAAAGTGAACTTAAGCTTCTAAGCCATTACTTTCTTTTTATTATATAGAAGTAGTTGTGTAGGTATACAGAACACAGCTGAAAATTTGGTTCTTAAATATTTGATGTATACCACTTTACATTTTCTTGTCAGTCCTTTGCACATTTGTGTCTTTCCTGGTATTTATCAAAAATAATGGTATTTTCCTTGGCTAATGAAGGGCTGTGAGAAATACATGAGGTTCTGTATATGCACTAACAAATGCAAATGGAAGCCCTGGGCCTCACACCAAGGTGACACCACAGAAACACCTGCGTGCTTTGCTGTTGAACTTTGCCTGACAGCCCAGCCCTGATCCCTCAGTGCAGCAGAGACTGTGGGGTCACCGTGTCAGGTGAGACTCATACTTACTTCTGTTGTCTATCTGATGTTTAAATGGCCTGCTCTGTCCCGAAGCAAAGCTGAGTGACACCAAGAGCATCAGGACATAGACAGTGACTAGCTTTAAGTGGTTTGGTGACCACTGGGCACGTGGTGTCCAGGAGATTGGATGCCACATGATGGAGCAGTGCTGGGAAGGCTGTAAGGAGAAGAATGAACACGGGGAACACATGTGAGTTAAAACTCTCAAGGTGAAGGAACGTGTCAATTTTAACAGTATGTTCCCATCCATTAGAGCCATTTCATGACTCTTAAGTTCTGTGGAACACTCATGCTCGGGATGTCCTGGGCATTTTTGTTCAAAGGCAAAGGCTATGAAGTGGACCATCTATTGAGGTAAAAACTAGAGAGTTTTTCTCTCCAGCAGGGAAAGCCTTCACAGGACACTCGAGTCCTGACCCTGGGCTCAGTGCTGGCTCTGTATGGCTCTCTGTATGACCATGGGCATTGGCCACCAAAGTGTATTTTAGCCACTACCACCAGCATCTTTTCCTTGCTTGTAAAGTGTGTCTAACACTTGTGTTTTACACACTCTTTTTACAACTAAATGCATTTCAGTATGAATGGCAATGCTCCTCTTGTGCCATCACACCCTTTTTTTTGCTAGCGTGCAAAATTACATTTTCTAGTTATGGTTTCCACTGATAGATGTCCCAGTCCTGTAAGTGCACCCAGATGCAAGAGAAAGAGAAATCCCTCCCAGCTTCCAAAGGATGGGCTGGGGAGAACAGAAGGTGCTGAGCTGGGAAAATTGCATCCAGGAAGGGGAGGGAGCCAGGCTCTGGTTATCACTGTCTCTATTTCACAATTCTGTACAAGCTTCCTCACGGCAGCTCTCCCAGCTGGACAGTCTGCTGTCCATGCAAGGACATGCAAGGTCTGCCTCTACATCTCACATCCTGGAACCTCTGCCTATAGGGCAGGAGCCTATTTGCTTAAGCATCATATAAGTGATACAGATATACAGGCACAGAGCCTGTAGGAAAACCTCTCAGCTGTGCCTATACAGCGGCTTCTCTTTGTGTATAGGTGGAATTTTTCCCCAGTTGCTGCCAAAATCTTAGCCTGCTTTCAGTATAGGCAGAGCAGGAATGAAAATCTTTGATGCAAGATACTCCCAAATACACCAAACAGGCAACACAGCAAAAACACATGAAGAAGTTGGCTGTGTCTTTCACTAAAATGCAGTCAAAAGCTTCTTTACCCCTAGTACACAGTGAAGGTTTTTCAAGGGCTTTTTCCCACATTGATAGTTTCTAACCAGGCAGCTTAGAGGAAAGTGATTTTAAGTCATGATTTCAGAACTGTAAATTAACTTTTTCTAACTTGAATATCTCAT